CCATTTTTCAACTGAAAGAGCTCAATATCAAGGCAAATCCGTCATGTTTTCAATATGCGCGTGCACGAGCGCGCGTTAATGACGCCATAAATTATGCGCCGTGAGGATGCGCAATGCAAATGTGAGGAATGACCTTAATACAAACCGCTCTAATCGCCTTGCGCCGACTAAATGCATCTCATTTGAGTTCCAATTGGTTCACCTTGCTGTATACGCTTTTTTTTGTGATTGGCTGTTGTGATAGCTTTGAGTTTGATTTTACAAAGATTAGGAACATAATTGCTTGTTACTTCTAATTTTTCCTTCTTCGTGTTCCTCGGCATATAGTTGGTATGACTAAAACGGGGAAACTCATTGTTTGATTCATTTTTTGTTGTTGCAGTCCACTACTAGAAACCTACACAGTTTTAGTGTCATGATATATATGGAAATAATACTGAGGATTAGTGCTATGATCATTTTATTGGTGAGTTGACATGCCATGGAGTGAAATTTATTTTTTAATTGTAAATAAATGTAAAAATTTAAGCACCAGTGGTTCGTAAAGTAAAGCCTTGCTGACGGATACAAAACTGATTTTTCACTTTATCATGCGAAATGGGACGGACCAAGGAGGTGTTCTTGGCTCTTTGTACACTGGCAGGCTATTTCTTTTCTTTTATTTCTACCGCGTAATGAAGCCCTAAAATCTTGTTCTATTGTCTCAAGTGTAGTGTAAATATAAATGTTATTGGTCTAGGGTGTGAGGGAGGGTGTGTCATATAGTATATTTTCGCATGCAATTACTGAATTTTATTAATCAAATACTCTTCAGATTTTTCGTTTTGAAAAGATTTATATCTGCAGAACAGTATTGTTGTTATTAGTTTTTTGCATTTTTATTGTCACACGACTTATTTGTTTTACATACTTTTGTATAATTATTTTGAAACTTCATTATTTGAAGAGCTACAAGTTTGGTGTCGCCTCTGGAAAGTCTATCAAAGGTACGATACAACCCTAGCTTACCAGGTTAAACATTATCGTTTACTCTGATTGGCTCTCGAGGTTGGGACCACTCAGTCAGCCGGTCAGTCAGTCAGTCAGGTAGTCAGTCAGTCAGTCAGTCAGTCAGTCAGTCAGTCAGTCAGTCAGTCAGTCAATCAGTCAATCAGTCAGTCAGCCAGTCAGCCAGTCAGCCAGTCGGCCAGTCGACCAGTCAGTCAGCCAGTCAGCCAGCCAGTCAGTCAGTCAGTCAGTCAGTCAGTCAGTCAGTTAGTCAGTCAGTCAGCGAGTCAGCCAGTCGGTCGGTCGGTCGGTCGGTCGGTCGGTCAGTCAGTCAGTGAGTCAGTGCGTCGGTCAGTTAGTCAGTCAGTTAGTCATTCAGTCAATCAGTCAGTCAGTCAGTCAATTGTGCAATCAGCTAAGAAGTTCGTTCAAAATATGTACGAACATTTAAAGGCTACAAGTATTATAACCTGTAAAAACTTAGAGACATTAGAAAACCTTTTTAAACCATAAATTACTAGATGGCCAGGCCAGATTTAAAATTTGAATAAGGCTATCTTATGATGTTCAGTTCTTTAATGTCTTCTTATTTGCTTGAAAATGTAGTGCTATTTTAAGTGGTGTAGTGCTAAGAAAGCTCAAGCTCTCATCTTAAGTGCAAACATCTAACAAGGGTATGGTTTGTAACTTTGCAGACTACCATGTTCTTGATCACTGGCTTATGAATGGCTCTGATCTTAATGTGAGGTCAGTGAACTAAGAAGCCAACTTGTGGCTTTTAAAAATATTGTTAAACCATTAAGATTAAGAACACATAGCTTCTGTTTATTGTGTATAAGGCTTTACCATAAGATACGGAGAAAGATTGTTCCGTCGGGTTATAATCTGACTATAAAGAACGTGGGCCATAAATAAAACTATTTGTATCAATCTCAATGTACGGTTCAAGAATCAAGGTCAATAAGACGATTTTTCTTACTTCTTTCACTCTCGTTCTTTCTTCAGTGAAGAAAGGCTAAATTTCAAGTCAAGCTCATGGGAAGCAAGTACTGTGGAAACTGGCCCATAAAATTGACCAATCACAGCGCGCGAACTACCTGAGAGATATAATAAGCAATTGCGCACGTGAATGTTACGTGAATGTATCACTGTAATGACAAAATAATATTTAAGAAATAGATTCCATGTTGCCACGCTTCTGTTCAGTAACAGATCACAGATGACGTCAAAATGAGGTAAGAACAAAAAAGCCGTGGCACATGAGGCGATAACCGAGTGTGTCTCTAAATCTACGTCGTTTGTTTACTAAAGAAAAAAATGTTGAAGACGCCATTTATGCGTCTGTCCTCCAATAAATCATAAGTAAGTACCGATCAAAATAAGAGGGTAATTTGATTTATTATATAATACAGATATATTCATGCGCAATAGAACTTTAAACCATAAACCTGATGTCTGTGTTTCCTGCGCTTGCTTCATTTCCAGTTACTCTGAGTCGGTGTACCTTGAGGAAGGCAGGTGTCCTGATAGCAAAGCTGTGATGTTTGATCCGATGGAAGACCCTGCAGTGTCCTACGTCGAGATTTGGCCAAGCTCAGACATAAGCAAAAGGAAATCTTACTCGATTGCTTGTTGGATAAAACTTAAAAGCTACCTGAGTAATAACGATTACATACAAGTAATATATTCAGACTGGATGAGAGAAAAGTTTATGTTGGCAATCGAATCTGGTAAGGTTTCCTTTGTCGTATACCAGGAATTGAACGAAAACTTGCATTGGAGAATGAAGACAGCACATGAGCGGATTAATTTAAACAAGTGGACCCATGTGACTGCAACTTGGGATGGACGCACAATAACCCTTTACGTTAATGGTGAAGAGCGCGACGGCAGAAACTCTTTCGATTTTAAAAGGCAGAAACCTGATCCGTCTTCCGTTGAAAGTGCCACAGCTTTCATAGCTGGAAACCCTTACTTCAACAACTACCAGTTCCTTGGTGCCATAATGGATCTATATATATTTGGCATTGCGCTGTCCCAGGATAATGTTATTGAGGTTTACAGAGGTGATTTATCCTAGTTAAGGCTTGTGAAGACAACTTACAGTAAAGATCGATCTTGTGCTTGTTTTATGTGACCAGGAGAAGATGAAGGGTGGGCGAGGTAATCCACCAGATCGGTCTCATTCCTAAGGTCAGATCCACGTTAGCAAAACTAGCGTCACAGGACTAGCTTTTTATAGACCCCCCTGGGATTTCTGAAATCGGGAGTGTTCTAAAAATAACTTGAGAAGGATTACTTTGGGATTAAGACCTATAAAGGAGATTTTAAACTCTCTTACACTTCATCATCTCTTGATATTATGTATGTACATTAACTTGATGCAAAGCATGAGGGACGTAACCCTGATCTGCGTATGAGCGGCCAGCAAAAACGTCATTGCCGCGGAAATCCTTCATCCTCTTTTTCAACAAATGAAAATTTGACACACCAAAATGTTTTGGCGCAAACTTTGTTTATTAATACCCTACGGTTTAGCCATTATGGGTTGAATGCATTTAATGCTTAAATGCTCTGACAGTTAGCAGTAAAGTATCTTCTTTGCAGGTATCCCAGTGGTTACAGATCAAATAAATGAAGTAACGGGAAAATTTGTCATAGTCAAGTGGAATCCTCTTTTTGAAGGGGCGTGTCCTCCAGATCAGTATAATATTTACTACAGAGACGACACCTTGGTGGACTGGGAATCACGTCATGTTTCAGGAAAGGTCTTTCAGTATGATCTTGAGCTGAAATGTTTCAATGAGTATGAACTAGCTGTCACTGCTACATGGGGAAGAAGCAGAGAAACACCGCTCAAGAACAGCAAAAGATGGAAGGTGAAGACTGGAAAAGGTACAGCAAAAAGTATTATTAAATAATTGGGATCTTTTCTTCTCAAAGTTTTAATAATCGGGTGAAAACGAAGTGCGTCATAACCGAGACATTGGTCTACTCCTTTAATGTTCGTTTCGATTGAGAATATTGATCAAACCATTGAGACATCAAAGTTCGTCAAAAATACTCCATTGCGTGTCGCATGTTAAACTCTCTTCTCGATGCTTGGAAGTGATGAGCACTGCCTCGTATGTTTAATGTATTAGCATTTCTTGCGTTATCGGCCTTATGCGCCTAATGGCGCGCAGACACGAAATTCAAGCTTCAACCCTTCAAATCCCAGGATATAAAGCTTCCCATATCCTGGTCATCCTGGGGTCTTTGTATTCTGTTACATTAATGTGGTTTCTACTATCGGGAGGTGGATCTCTATCCCAGGTTGTCATAGTGAGAAACGAATATAAAGAGCAAATCTTTGCTCTTATTTAGAATTTAATTCTAAACTAGTTTATCCCCTTTCCCCAGTATTCTTGGATCAGTTTCTTTCGATTTAGCACTGTTAGTGTTCAGTAACAAGTACATGACTGAAGTGCAGGAAATGAAAAGTCCTGTAATGTGTGTTCGTGGAAAATGTATCTACAGATTTGCAAGTTATTTTCTTTTTTCATCCTTTTCAGATTTTCCAGTGATTTTAAATCACGCCACAGAAGTAAAGGGAAAGAAAGTAAGAGTCGTGTGGTCGTCACTTATGGCATGTCCCTTGGGATGGTACAACGTCTACTACAGAGAGGTTTTGGCCGGGTTTGATCCAATAAAATGGAGATCTGTCAAAGTTTCTCCTAAAGAAACTCATCACACTCTTGACCTACAATGTCAAAAAGAGTATGAAATTGCAGTTAACGCAAGGATTTCAAGTGGAGAGACACCACTCAACCACAGCAATTGGTGGAAGGTTAAAACTGGACAAGGTACTACCAGTTAAATTACTAATGTTGAACTGTTCATCTACACACTCAGCCATCCCAGTAATGTCCTTCCTTTATTTTTAATGGTGTTCAGAAACCATTTTAAACGTGTGCCTCTTTTGTAACAGATTTATACTATTAAACTATTAACTATTAAATCTCATAACTGCATGTAATGCGCAATCTGAAACAATTGTGATATGCACAATATGTGATGACATGTATCCTCATGTATCCTCTTGCTCTCCTCTTTTTCATCATCATCATCATCATCTTCATCATCATTGTCATCATCAGCAATGTCATCATCAGCAATATCATCATCATCATCATAATTTTCAATATCATCATCATTGTCATCATCAGCAATGTCAACATCTTTATTATGATGATGATGATGATCATCATCATCATCACCATCATCATTTTTCACATATACACTATTTAACAATTAGATTATTCGCTCTCGATTTCCTTGAGGCGATAGTTGATTCGGCCGAATTCTAACTGAAATAAACGTAAATAACGGTTTTAATTATTTTTGTACGCATTATTGAACTTTACGCTTTAACAAAATCGCACGCATTGAATTGTCCTTGGTAAATTTGCAGTTGTTTACGCGCGCGCACCCGTTTTTTCGATAAGTTTTTAAAGTCAAGAAACCGCCAATGTCCTTCTTTTAGTCTTATCAGGAATTTAATTTATCCATTTACGTCTAAACTTTCTTCCAAAACTTCGGGAAAGCGATAGAAATGTCGCATTTTGTGGACGACCGACAGCCACTGCATTCTAATGGCTGATAGTATACGAGTAGCTCAGCCAATCAGAATGCAGCATTTGCATTAGTATACTAGTAGAATTCTACTAAAATGGAATATAAGTACTAATAAAAGTACAAATTCGCCAAGAAGTAACTTATTGACTATAAGTAACAGGTAATTACGGGAACAGATTAGGAAAGAAGAACTTGAAATATTTAGCCAGACTTTAATGCTATCCCTTGAATCACTAGGCTTTAGCTGAATGATTTTAATTAAATAATGGATGAAGTTTTTGAATCAACAATGTTCTAAATTTCTCCTATTAGACTTTCCACAAATCTCATCAGCAGTGCCAGACAAAAGCAATATTACGGTCAGCTGGAAAACTCCTTTTGACGGAGAGTGTCCTGTGACAAGGTACACAGTGTACTACCGAGTGGTGGAACGGATGATCACGAGTACTTGGAAAGAAGTCACGGCTTCAAGCTATCAACTCCAGCTTACTCTTCAAGTCAAGTGCGGCAAGATGTACCAAATAGCGGTAACGGCGTGGAGTTCATATGGAGAAACAAGCAGAAACCAAAGTAAACTAGTCCAGGTTTGGGGAGGTAACAACTTTCAAAAATGTTCAAAAAAAATGTTCAAATGTTATTGTTATAGTGGTCAATGTGCTTAGCTACACCTAGCTAGTTCACAGATATGCCACTTGAACTGAAAGAAACAAATATATCAACTAACGATAATAGGCTTAAAAATCCAAACTGGCAGGAGGCAGACCAGTTAGTCATTGACAAGCATGACCGAGGAGTTGAACTAGGGTCTATTGAGAAACAACTCCAGCTAAGTGGACAGAGCGAGACTTGAATCCGCGACCTCCGGATTTCAAGTCCGGTGCCCTATCCACTCGGCCATACTGCCTCCTTTAAATAGTGTTTAATATAATTCAGGGCTTTTGGACGATGTCCGCCCGTTCTCTCCGTTAGGAGATGCTCGGACCAGAGCCAGAGCAAGTTTTTTTTTTTTTTTTTTTT